TACATACATACATACCATATAAACACAATCATATACATTTTATAGTAAGAAAAAGTTCCATTTATGCTCTAATGAAATGACCCTGTTAAGAATAATTTAATAAGAATATCACCAGGGTGATGATGACGAGGCAAAGACGGATGTGTTTCTCTTTACTCCAGCATTCTGTTAAAAACAGCAGTGCTCTGTTGGCGACAGGCTTCAGACAGATGGGTAATATCATCCTGTGATGATGTGCGACGGCTCTGAGGTGGTCTTGGCCAGGCAGGCGAGCACAACACTCGCAGCTGAACAGCCTCCTGTAGCTGATGCTGAGCGAGGCCCTATAGCTGAAGCAGCTGTGTGTTTGGGTACAAATGTACACTTATGTTCACCCATTATATAAGTGGCATTAAAAATTGAATGTCATAAAATTGTTGTCAAAGCATTGGGGAAAAAAACATCCCTGGAGTGATATTGTTCTCTTATTGTTTCTACTATCTTGCTGTTCTACCACCTTTTCTGAGAGAATATTGCTGTTTTATGAAATGTAAAATTTAGAATATTTCTTTGTATATATATAATTGAAATTTAAATAAATTAAGATTTAAAAATTATAATAAATATATATATTTATATAAATGTATTTATTTCTATTTGAAATTAAATTAATAAATGAATCAACTATCATATATAATGTTTTATTTACTAAATATGTATTTAATAAATAATATAAAATATTAACAATAATTAATTATTAATAATTGTATTATAATTATTATAATTTATAATAATTAATTAATAATAATAGTATAATTTATTTATAAATAAACATTAGTATGGTACAAATAAATTATAAATAAATAACAGTATAGTACAATTTAGTGATAACATGAGATGAAATCAAATGAATAAATAAATCTGAAAATGTTAATAATAATAATAATAATAATAATAATAATAATAATAATACAATGTGATTTATAAATGATTCTGTCTAAAATGCTGTCTAGGTAGGACTGGAACACAGCCATAATTCACACTTTTTCTCCTGCATTTTTGAAGGACATTTTTAACTCCCTTATTCTTCTTTACATCGTTTCTCAAAAGGGTGCACTTCTTTTCTTCTGCTGGCTCTATTCTCCATCCTATTCTTTTCTGTAGAGGGAACATTTCTCTCCCCTCGGCCTTGACTTTTTGTTTGTCTATATGTCTCTCACTCTCACTCTCACTCTCACTCTCTCTCTCTCTTTGGCCCGTCTCCTCGGGACAGACTGCACTTGCAGCCCTCCACTCCTCAATGAGTTTCACTCAATGGGCACAAAGTCTCCTGGTGGAGCCTGGTCGTAAAGCCATCACATGGGCCCTAAATCTGCCCCGCCGCCCCCCACCATGGCAGGCCCTCCCTGCTGCCAATCAGAGCAGAAAGTAGACCAGCACAAAAGTCTGGAACGAGTCGCAAGCGCCATCGATGAGCCAAAAGGGACAAGAGTTAAAACAGGTCTAAGCACACTGCACTCGAGCCTAGACTACATGAAAAGAGAAGCTGTACATCAACTCATTATACTGGAGAAAACAACCTAGCTTGAATTAAATCTCAAGCACAGGGCCACTGTAGATTTGACGGTGCATTTTGCGCTTGACTGAACCATAAACCCTATAGCACACATGGGACAAAAATCAAACCTAGACACACAGACGCCACACAGACAAAGGCAGAGATGCATATCCTGTACAACTGTCCCAGAAGTACTGTAAATCTATTCAAGCTTAGCTTTTAACCTTACTATATAAGGTTCAATAACAGCAACAAAACTCATTTTGAAGAGGTCAAATCATAAGAAATTCAATTCAAGTTACTCTTTTAATTTATACAGGTTTAAGGTGATTATACAATTGTAAAAATATATATTTATAAATAAACGTCCAAAAGTTTGGGGTCAGTTTTTTATTTATTTATTAAGACTTCTATTCAACAAGGATGCATTAAATTGTTCAAAATTGACTGTAATTATATTTATAATGTTGCAACATATTTCTATCTTCTATCTCTCTAAACAAATAAACACAAAAATAATAAGCTGCACTACTGCTTTTAACATAGATAAATCTGCATATTTCTATGATTTCAGCATATTTCTATGATTTCTATGATTCTGACCATGTGACACTGAAGACTGGAGTAATGATACTGAAATTCAGTTTTACCTCACAGGAATAAATTACATTGTAAAATATGTTCAAATATATTATATTTTATACAATTTAACATATTATAAAACGTACAAATATTTCATAAAATGACACAATTTTATTTTATTTTATGTTCATATTTTAATATATTAAAATACATATAATATATTTTAATTAAAAATATATTATATTATATTAATAATATTATATTCATATTTTATGCATATATTTTATAGAAATTTAATTTACTTATAAATGATTATACCATTATCAGATTTTGCTGATTTTTAAAAATTATTTATTTAATTTACTCTGTATAGTCTGATATCATTAAGTTGTACAATATTTTATTTATTTATTGTATATGTATTTATGGATGGACTGATGGATGCATTTATTTATTTATTAATTTATGTATGTATGGATGCATTTATTTATTTATTTATTCCTATATACAAAAATATCTATGTCATGGTGCCTTATACCAGATATAAGATGAACAATACTGTGGCTTCTAAAGGCAACAGTTGCACACTTTCACTTTTACAGCGCTGTTATAAATTACTTCAAATAATATAGCTGACATGCTATTTGTCATGAATCTTGTCCATGGTCTTCCATCTGCTCGCCACCAGAGGTCGCCTTCCTAGTATATTGACTCTCACACCACACAGACTTTTACACGTCACCCTGGACTACACTTCCCATGTTCCATTTCACTGATTACATTCTCACCTGCAGCCAATCACACACTATAAATATGAGGCCCTAACCACTTTTCAGGGCCGAGTATTGTTTGCGTTTATCTCTCTCCTAGCGACAGCAGCTTTACAGTTCCCTGTCCTAGTTTCTAGTTCCTAGTTCCTAGTCTAGTCTTGTTCATTGCCTGTTTCTCTCGTGTTTACACTCTAGCCTGTTCTCTAGACTCGCCTGTTCTCTGCCTGCCCTGAACTATACTTCCTGTCTTGGATTATCCCATTGTCTTGCCGTTTCTGACTATGTTTGCACCTTGCCTGGACTATTGCCTGTGTTTGTGGATTACCCGTTTGCTTTGCCCTCTGGATTACGTTCTCCGTCGTTTGACCCATGCCTGTCTTTGGATTACTCTGTTGTCTTGCCCACAATATACCTTTTTTGACCATGTTTAATAATAAAGCTTTGCATATGGATCCACACGCCTCTTGTCTTAGTCGCTCCGTAACACTATTACACATTTACTGCCGTTAATATAGCCATTAATGGACTGAAAGCAAACTCAGCATGAGCGCTGAAATTCCAAAGCACTGTTGACACATTGAGAATTACATTCTCAGCAACACAAGATATTATACATATAAATATATATTTATAAATAAATGAAAATGTTACAACTCCAGAAACATCCACAAATAGCTAAAACATAATATATCTTATTAAATATAGTACAAACACGCAACAATTGATATACTGTTAAAGACCAGAAGTATTTGGAGTGGCTGTCAAACATTAGTGGATCATGTTCATAGAGACCAAGCCGAATACTTTTGGGTCCCTTAAATGAAGTTTCATCACCATTAAATGTAACAAGAGCAATAACATTGGGTGTCTACAAGAACAAATAACCAGCAATACATTAAAAATAATACATCTAAACAAAATTATCCTCCAGTACTAGAGCATCTTTTTAAAATAAGAGAAAAAAGTGCAGATCAGGTCTCTTACCTTCCAGCAGGTCTCGTGCCAGACCCGGTTCTGCCCCTGTGGACCGAACAAAGTCTGACAGGACCGCATCCATGTCCAGAGTCATGGGTTCTTGTGGCTGTGCTGCCTACCCTGCAGCTTCACGCTCTCATCTACACAAAAATCACAGGAAATATCATAGAAATCATTGAAGAACATCAAATAAAGGACAAAACAACAACAAAAACATGGACTGAGCACAACATGCAGCATTACCAGTACATCAGGCTCTTATTTACAGTTTGATCACATTCAGATTAATCAGAGATGAATGCAGCCTGGGGAATGTGTGACATGACTGTGAGGAGTGACTGCACTGACAAAAAAAAATGGTGCAGGGTTTACTTTGAAACAGTTTTCACTCAGAAAATGGTAGTAATGGTATATACTGTATTTACAACAGTTCTTTCTGGGCCTCGAATCTGATTGGCTGAGAGGAGTGAGATATTCTAGTGATAACAGCACTCCAATTGTTTTTTATAACTGTTTGTATACACTCTTAAAAATAAAGGTGCTTCATGATGCCATAGAAGAACCTTTTTGTCTAAATGGTTTCATAAAGAACCTTTAACATCTGAAGAACCTTTCTGTTTTACAAAAGGTTTTTTTGTGGTGAAAGAAGGTTTTTCAGATTATAAAAAGGTAAGAAAGATATGGTTCTTTAAATAATCTTTAACTGAATAGTTCTTTGTGGAACCAAAAATGGTTCTTCTATGGCATCGCTGTGAAGAACCTTTTAAGCACCTTTATTTTTACGAGTGTAACTCCACTTGCAGTATTTCTCACAGCGAGTGTCATGGCGGACGCCCAAATCCACTGTAGTTTTAAAAACTTATGTCAGACTAACAGAATTCATTAGCCGAAAGTTTTAGAAGAAAAACATTCTATGAACGTTCCATGCTAACATTTTGTGATCATTATTAAACACCAGATAACTTTGAACGAACAGGTTCAAAGTTATTAGGTTTGTTCATAACTTTGATACAACATTGCCACAACGTTAGCCAAAGTTCTGAGAACATTCACTTTTATCTGGGAACTAACTATAGTAAAAATATAAATACAAAATAAAGACTAAAAGTATTTGGAGTGGTCATCAAACATTAGCGGATCAAGTAACACGTTCAATAAACATGACATTTTGAAGTAGAATGAAATGTATAGTTCAGTCATGAAACTCTAGATGGCACAGGCTGATGGGTATTAACGTAACTGATGATATTCACATCGTTAAACGGCTTGGCGCAAGCTGATTAGTTCATGTTGCATATGCAGCCAGTGAGCTTGCTGCATTACATTGGCGGGTTAGCATCCACTTGAGCATTTTGCAGCGCGCTTTTAGAGTTCCTCTGAAACCCTCCACCTTCCCCAGCTCCACCTGTATAGATCTGCTACGGGTTATTTTATATGCTATTTGTGCAGCAGCAGTATGTCTTAAATACTCACTGCACCGTATCGCGTATGCATTGGCAGTAGCAAGTTCCTATACTTGCTTGCAGCAGCAGCAATAATCTTCAACTACAGCAATAACCAACAGCAGCAGCAATTCAGCAGCAGCAGCATAGCAGATCTATTCCGCCAAGACCAAATACATTAACATTGTCATATCCATTACCATGCTTTTTTTTGTAAAGCATACTCCAATAATCTGTGTTTCATTTACTTTGAAAAAATTTTTTTTGAGGGTGTGGAGACTGATCTCACAACAGCTGACAGTGAGACACCTGGATATGATTATATTATTAGAAATATTAACAAATTCCCAAAGAGAACAGATAATGTTACACCAGTGCTTTGCTGTGGGACACAGCTGTTTTGCATAATGCGCTTTAATTAGAGAAAAGAAAGATTATACTGTACTAAGTTATTAAAGGGACAGTTCACCCAAAAATGAAAATTTAGTCATCATTTACTCTCCCTCATGTTGTTTCTTTCTTCTGCTGAACACAAAATAAGATACATTATTTTGAAAAATATTGGTAACCAAACCCCATTTTGGTTTCCTGAGTGACTTCCATAGTATTTTTTCAAATACTATGGAAGCCAATGGCTACCATCAACTTTTGGTTACCAACATTCTTCAAAATACATGTATCTTCTTTTGTGTTCAACAGAAGAAAGAAACTCATACAGGTTTGGAACAACTTTAGGGTGAGTAAATGATGACAGGATTTTCGTTTTTGGGTGAACTGTACTTTTAAGTGGTGGTGTGTCAATAACCTGTTGCATGCGTGTTTATGGGTGTGTTCTGCTGTCACAAGGCCGTGCGAGTGTGTCACAGTGCTGGACAGCGGACAGATTGGTGTGATGTTTCAACACTTTGCTGACAGTATGCGGGCTGCGTGTGGGATTTTTCAGCTGGAACACGTTGGCTGTGACATTCTGCTCAAGGCCTTTTTTGTCATTGCCTTATGAAATGCGCCGTTGTTTGATGCTGGTGAGATCAGACCGAACCCTGCTGTGCTGGCTGGAGGGGGGAACACCTACAGGTTCGCTGCAATAACAGAGGACTGTTTATCCGTGTGCATGTGCCGTGTGTCAGACGGCCGGACACACGGCCAGCAGCTTCCGCACCATTTACGGAGCGTGACACAAAAATGAGAGGAATGTGAAGCTGCCCACAGTGGAGAACAAGCTTAACTGCCCACTACTGAGTGCAACTCACAGACCTGAAACATACGTTATGATGAGTTCTGTATACGGATGGGTCATGATAGCCAAATATAAGACACAAATTTACTTGACTTGAAAAATAGTATTAATGATACATACAATTCTTTCTGGTCCTCGAATCTGATTGGCTGAGAGGAGTGTGATATTCTAGTGATAACAGCACTCCAACCGTTTCACCTTTTGTATAACTCAGTTTGAAGTATTTCTCACAGCGTGTGTCAAATCCACTATAATTTTATAAATAATCAGTAGGGGGGACCCGCGGAATGTGATTTCTAAACATGCCTCTGTAAATAATACTGTTTTTATGTCACGGAATTGTAGTTTTTTACTACCTGGTCTCATGGCATAAATGTACCTGGGTGCACTTTTTAGCGAGATGCGAAATACGTACCAATAAGTACATGTCACGGCAGTTTCCAAAATAAATGAACACTAGAGGCAGTAAAACTCCGACACCTTTTATTCCTTTTCACACAGATTTACAGAGTTTCGATTAATAAAGCGTAATTTTCGCACAATTACTTGAAGAATATCATGTTATGACTTCAAAACAATATTAATATACTGGGAGATTTGAAAACTGATGCTTTTGAACGTTAGCATCGCACATATCCAGCTTCATATCTATGGGTTTTCATAGATGGTAGGTTTGTTCGGTAGATCACGGAGTACGAAGACGTACTTGAGAGGTGAGGAGCTCCGGTTCGAATCCCGTGTAACCACGGTTCGACAAAGCAGTTCAAATCTGCATATAAGGAAGTTAAAATGGCACAGTTGCATCAACAAATGCTTTTTTATATCAGTTTTGCAATTGTTAACACTATTAGAATGTAGTTGTTTAGACTTCAAATATGCGGTTTGTTAATAAAGACAATGTCTATTTGAAAATTTGCTTTGTCGTTTTTGGAGATGTGAGCTCCAGGGCGTCAGCGGCATTCAGCGCCCATGAACCGGATGAGAGCATGTAGTCAACAATGTAATCTATTGTAGTCAACTGTAGTCAGTAATGTAATATAGATTACTCATTTTAGGTAATGAATTCGGACTAGTTTTCAATTACTTACAGATTACTTTTGATTGAACTTGTTTATAGATTTTAATGGGATTAATGTTATATAAAATCATGAAATGCATTAAACATCTCATTACTCTACTCGTATGTTTGGATACTTGCGTGAAGTATGTTTTCGGTCACTAATATAAACCGAACAGCCAATAGCGAGCTTCCAAGCAATACAAAGTAATCCACTGCACTTTGAGTAAGATTACAAACCCTGCAATTACATTCTGCTATAGCAATTAGAGAAGCCTGACTAACCCTGCAGAATTAAACATAAGATTAGATCATTCACTCTCAAAGGTTTCTTTTTGTGCTTTTTCATTGGTCACATTTGTGCTGCCAGATGTTGTCCGGTTCAAACAGATGACAGAATGACATAATCACAAACCCTGATGACCTTTACACAACCAGTGTGGTAATATATAATGTGGGAATTTACAAATATAACATACAGTATATAGTTACATTTACATTTACATTTACATTTAGTTACAAATTAGTGTTACAAATGATTGAGATATTATTATATTTTTTATTAATATTTTCAATCTTTTTATCTTTAAATATTTTAAATATTTTAATTTTATTTTTTGTTTATTTTATATTATTTCGATTTTGCTTTTGAAAGTTCACTGTATTTTCATGTGCTTTTAATTTAAGTTTAATAAATAAATAAATAAATTAATTAATTGTGCACAACAACACTACTGGTATTCATTCATTAGGAAAGTTAGCAGTGTTGTCATGTGTTTAAGGACAAATTAGTAAATTTACAACAACAACAAAAACAGTACTTTTCATACTTATACATAGTATAATCACTTTCACAGTTACTTTTGATTAGCAGATAATTACATAAATAATGGCAAATCCAAAACCTGTATACAGTATATCTGTCTTTACACAAGTTTCTGTTTTGACAGCAAAAACTTATATTATCTTCCTTATATCAAGATGAGAAAAATTTTTTCTTTTCATATGCCTTGCATTATTTATCAGGAAGCCCAGCACTTTAGCGGCAGTTTAGCTGACCTAGTTCCTAGCTAACCAGTTCAGTAAAGCACTCAAAACATTAGCTCAAAACATCCAGCGGTTCCATATTTAAAACACTGCAATGTATTTGGTTATGACTGTTTATAAAACACCTCAGCCCGATTTATATTATGGATCTAGTGATCGCCGACTGACCTGTTCTGTAATACATCAATATAATAATCTTCATCCAATAAAAGTCAAACAGAAATATGTTAAAGCAAGCCACAGCCCAAAAAAACTTTAGTGCAATCTCAGCCAGATGTACTCTAACATGCTTTTAAGATCTGGATTCAGTGTGACTTATGGCGGAGTTTATTCTAGTGAATGTAAATCAAGTGGTGGCAGCGGTGGGTATTTTTCATTTTATTTTCTTAAAAAAAAAAAAATTCTGCTACTTATCAAACCAGTTACATGGTATATGGTAACTTTAATTTTTGAGATCTCTACAGCATGAAATGTGAGTTTCCAACAGTGAGAATCAGTCAAATGAAAAATCAACAGTGTTGCGGTTAATGTTTGAAACTAATGATGGCTGTTGCCTGACAGCAGAGTGGTCTGTCAATAACAGCCAATTAAAAATCTGCACACTATTTTGTTGCACCATTTTACAATGGTGCATTTGTAAAGTATATCTAATTCATAATTATATTGCATATAATGAATTATTAACAATTATATATGAATAAAATTGTTGCATGTAAGTATTAATATAAAAAAACACAAATGTTACATTATTTTATCTCATCTGTAATTTTTATAATTGCATAGTATAAAATGTCATATGAATATAATAATAAATAGATAAATAAATAAAATAATATATATATAAAATAAATAAATAAGTTATAAACAACCTTGTATATAATCATTAGTATGAAAGAATATAAATGTTATATTATTATTATTATTATATACTGTATAATCTGTAATTTATATATTTTCTATTAATTAATCATAATAAAAACATAACTCATTCAAATACAGTAGTTTTGTGTCTTTTGCAACCTGTTAAAACAATGAGTTCCAGTTGTTTATGATCAATGAACATCGATTTTAAATACTTAATAATAAACATGATAAATGTTTGAGATTGTATATAGAGCCATTTCTAGCAGCTGAAATAGTAGAGTATATAATGTAATATAATATATTATTCAATTTATTAAAAAAATTACATCTGTTTTTTTAAGAGTTCTTTTTTTTTTTTTTTTTTTCAGGT